GTGATCATGGGTCCTATTGCATCTGTCCAGGGAGAGTTTCAGAACAGGGCTTGCATTTAAGAACAGGGTTTTGTAATTGTAGATGGCACAAGAGAATGTGTGGAGCGAGTTTAGGTTTAGCATGTTTAGGGTTTTAAACAGGGAGGCTGAGTGTTGTCTGAAAGCAGAGTTTGTTATTGTTCTGATAGCAAATTTTTGCTGGGTGATGATGGGCTTGAGGTAGTTTTGAGTGGTTGAACCCCATGCACAGATACCATAAGATAGGGATAGATTAATGCGCAGTTTAGTGAGAGGAGAACAGAGTTAGGTACTTAATATATATATATATATATAAATATATATATATATATATATATATATATATATATATATATATATATATATATATATATATATTTATATTAATATAGTGTGTGTGTGTGTGTGTTATTACCGTACAAGAAGTACACGGGGCGCTGTATGGCGCCCGAGGTCTGGTTGGATGGAATTTACATGAGGACCACCATCTCCCTATTGGCCTCGACGGGGACAGGAAACTAGCGGCTTGCCAAAGACCCTCCTCCCACCCCCCTTCCTTGTTGCTGTGGATTTTTCCAACTATATGTTTAATGAAGTAATTAATGTCTTGGCATTTATGGTTTGGTGTTGGGCTTAAGGCGTGTCAACTGGTGTAGGGTTATTAAGGCCACCACACCAGCTTACTGACCAATCAGCAAGTTAACTTTATTTTAGTCCGGAACAAAGTCCAGGACTACAGTAAACTGTGTATATTCATAAACAATTGTGCGGTCCACTAAATTATAATGTAAATATATAAAGATGGATACACGTCCATGAAGGAACTGTATGTTGAGCGTCCGTGGTAGGCCTACGAGACAACCTGGCCACCCTATAAGACAGTAATAAACATGTTCTGTCAAACTGCCACGCAGCCTTGGGTATTATTATTCTCTGGCGTAGTTGGAATCCGGATCATGTCAACATGGTTGTGGCAGCACGCAGCGCTAAATGAGATTTTCAGTACAAGTGTTTCTGTACCTAAAGTAGTAAGAGTCGCATGGGCTTGAGGCCAACCTGTCCACAATCAATAGTTCGAGTGTTCCATGCTCAAATAATTCCCACGTGGGGTTCATTTAAAAAAAAAATACATTGAAGAGGGGGCTTCTTCAAGGCTTTCCCGTTTTCGCTAAATGTTTATTAAAGAAAACGTTAAGGATTTTCAGTTTAGGAATAACTTTATAGTTTGTGGCTGCTGGAGAAGTGCCATATTTTGACCTCTGACAATATTTAGTTGTTATCCAGTAATTTTGTTGTACGTTCTTCTTAAAGTAATTAAGTTATACGTTAGTTTTTATTGTAATTACTGAGTAAACCCCGACAGGTTATTACTAGGTTATGCTCGGCACGTGAATTACTTAGTATCCCCCAGCACTTGAAATACTAAGTATCCCCAAGCAGCTGGGATATACTAGGTACCTTGGTTACCTTGTGATGGCTGTGGGGCTTAGCGTTCCCGCGGCCCGGTCCTTGCCCAGGCCTCCTCATTAATATACTAGTCATCCAGACTGTTGGACGCGACTGCTCGCGCCTGACGTATGAGTCACAGCCTGGTTGATCAGGTATCCTTTGGAGGTGTTTATTAAGTTCTCTCTTGAACACTGTGAGGGGTTGGCCAGTTATGTCCCTTATGTGTAGCGGAAGCGTGTTGAACAGTCTCGGGCCTCTGATGTTGATAGTTCTCTCTCAGAGTACCTGTTGCACCTCTGCTCTTCAACGGGGGTATTCTGCACATCCTGCCATGCCTTCTGGTCTCATGTGGTGTTATTTCTGTGTGCATGTTTGGGACCAGCCCCTCTAATATTTTCCACGTGTAAATTATAATGTATCTCTCCCGCCTGCACTCAAGAGAGTACAGATTTGTGCATTTCAGTCGGTCCCAGTAGTTTAGATGTTTTACTGAGTGGATTCTAGCAGTAAAGGATCTCTGCACGTTCTCCAGGTCAGCAATTTCTCCAGCTTTGAAAGGTGCTGTCATTGTGCAACAGTATTCCACTAGAGAGCACTAGCGTCTTGAAAAGACTCATCGGTATAGCATCTCTAGTGTGAAAAGTTCTTGTTATCCAACCTGTCATTTTTCTTGCAGTTGTGACGGCTACTTTATTGTGTTCTTTAAAGGTAAGGTCTTCCACATGAGTACACACAAATCCTTTACATTGCATTTTTAGTTCTGTTATGATTTGACTGCGTTTTATACGTGGTTTCAGTTTTTATATTTTCATTTTCCTGTAGCGCAGGAGATGGAACTTATCTTCATTAAACACCATATTATTTTGTTCAGCCAGTAGAAAGACCTGATTTATACTGATTGTAGGTTTGCCGCATCCTATATGTTAACCAAGATATGTTGACTACTCTCATAAAAATCCTAGTGTCATCTACAAAGGATGATACAGTACTATAGATTGTGTCCTTGTCTATGTCCGATATGAGGATGAGAAAAAGTACGGAGCAAGCACAGTACCCTGAGGGACTGATCTCTTCACGGTCGATGGTCCGGATTTTATTTTGCTGACTATTACACATTGTGTTCTGGTAGGTGGGTTACCAGGCCCCTCCGGTTGGTGTACAAGACCATAAATTGTTTTATTTAAGATATTGACATATAAAAGTAGTCAGTTGACACAGGAATTGGGTGGCGGCAGTGTGTCAGTCCTTGAGAGTAGGAGAGTTCATACCTCGAGTGTTATGTTCACACCTCGAGTGTTATGTTCACACCTCGAGTGTTATGTTCACACCTCGAGTGTTATGTTCACACCTCGAGTGTTATGTTCACACCTCGAGTGTTATGTTCATACCTCGAGTGTTATGTTCATACCTCGAGTGTTATGTTCACACCTCGAGTGTTATGTTCATACCTCGAGTGTTATGTTCATACCTCGAGTGTTATGTTCACACCTCGAGTGTTATGTTCATACCTCGAGTGTTATGTTCACACCTCGAGTGTTATGTTCATACCTCGAGTGTTATGTTCATACCTCGAGTGTTATGTTCACACCTCGAGTGTTATGTTCATACCTCGAGTGTTATGTTCATACCTCGAGTGTTATGTTCACACCTCGAGTGTTATGTTCACACCTCGAGTGTTATGTTCATACCTCGAGTGTTATGTTCACACCTCGAGTGTTATGTTCACACCTCGAGTGTTATGTTCACACCTCGAGTGTTATGTTCACACCTCGAGTGTTATGTTCACACCTCGAGTGTTATGTTCACACCTCGAGTGTTATGTTCATACCTCGAGTGTTATGTTCATACCTCGAGTGTTATGTTCACACCTCGAGTGTTATGTTCATACCTCGAGTGTTATGTTCATACCTCGAGTGTTATGTTCACACCTCGAGTGTCTTCACATGTTAGGCAGCGGTGAGGTCGTGTCACGTGACCTTACCCTCAGCAAAATTGGTCATTGCACACCTCTGCCTCTCTCTCTCTCTCTCTCTCTCTCTCTCTCTCTCTCTCTCTCTCTCTCTCTCTCTCTATCAAACGAGGGAATTATCAGGGAAAAGCGCCGAGCCATTACAACTATATAACACTGGGAAGGGGTCAGGATAAAGATTTGGGATGGGACGGGGGAAGGGAATGGTGCCCTACCACTTGGACGGTCTGGGATTGAACGCCGACCTGCAAGAAGCGAGACCGTCACTCTGCTATCCAGCTGAGTGTAATAGCTAGGGGCTATCTCCGGTGGGCGGAGTTTAGCTCCTGGTTCCCTCCTTTAAGTTCTCGAGCCGTTGTACATTAGATACAGGATCCTTGCCTTACACTGAGGATGTAACACTGTTGGCCTTATACTGCACCTCCCTCTCCAGGCCTGTGGGGGGTGGGGGGCATGACTGTTAACCGTCCCCCCCCCCCATCTCTAACCCACTTACACTCAGACGTTGGGAGTGTGAGTGTAAGGTGATGTACTCTGTGTTTCCTCCTATCATTTGTGTAAATTTGGAGGGGCAGTCTGCCGTAGGGGTGTATTTCCTGCGTAGTGACTCTGTGAAGTAATATTGTTTATGGTAAAGTGACGAAATATAATTATCCATCATGAATATGTATTATAATTTAATTATTAGTTTAAGACATTTTTAAGTTTGATAACCACAGATCTTTTGATCAATATTTTAACTGATAAAAGCTAGTGAAGAACACTCCATGAAAATTACTTACTAACCATTCAGATTTGATTATTAATGTTATTTTTTTACATGGTTGCTGTTTGTTACCTATTATATTGATCATGGAGACGAGGTCCTTTCCTTGTCTTGTTAACTTGTGAGTGGATGGGGGCTGTACAACCTCCTCCTATCCTCTATCTAATCTACACACACTGACTTTCTAGCCTTCAGACCCGTCTTCAACTGTATCCCTATTAACAACTCTCCCCTCCCCATCTTCCTCTCTCCTCTACTCTCTCCGTATCACACCACTCCTCCCCCCTCTTCCTGACACGCTCCCTCACCCACAGGTCAGCAGACACGACTGACACGCTCCCTCACCCACAGGTCAGCAGACACGACTGACACGCTCCCTCACCCTCAAGGCAGCAGACAATAACACGGTCCCCCCTCCTCAGGGCAGCAGACAATAACAAGGTCCCTCACCCTCAGGGCAGCAGACATTAACGAGGTCCCTCACCCTCAGGGCAGCAGACAATAACAAGGTCCCTCACCCTCAAGGCAGCAGACAATAACACGGTCCCCCCTCCTCAGGGCAGCAGACAATAACAAGGTCCCTCACCCTCAGGGCAGAAGACAATAACAAGGTCCCTCACCCTTAGGGCAGCAGACAATAACGAGGTCCCTCACCCTCAGGGCAGCAGACAATAACACGGTCCCCCCCCTCCTCAGGGCAGCAGACAATAACAAGGTCCCTCACCCTCAGGGCAGCAGACAATAACAAGGTCCCTCACCCTCAGGGCAGCAGACAATAACAAGGTCCCTCCTCCACAGGGAAGGAGATAGAAGGCATCTGGCACACTGGCGTCGTCGCTTATGGCAGAGAATATTTCTTTGGTTCCGGCGGCATCGAGTCCTGCAGACCTGTGAGTACTGGGGTGTTGTGGTGGTTGTTGTGGTGGTGGTGGTTGTTGTGTGTTGGTTGTTGTGTGTTGTGGTGGTTGGTGTGTGTTGTGGTGGTTGGTGTGTGTTGTGGTGGTTGTTGTGTGTTGTGGTGGTTGTTGTGTGTTGGTTGGTGTGTGTTGTGGTGGTTGGTGTGTGTTGTGGTGGTTGGTGTGTGTTGTGGTGGTTGGTGTGTGTTGTGGTGGTTGGTGTGTGTTGTGGTGGTTGGTGTGTGTTGTGGTGGTTGGTGGTGTTGTGTGGTGGTGTGTGTTGTGTGTGTGTTGGTGGTTGTTGTGTGGTTGGTGTGTGTGGTGGTGGTTGTTGGTGGTGTTGTGGTTGGTGTTGTGGTTGGTGTGTGTGTGGTGGTTGGTGTGTGTGTGGTGGTTGTGGTGGTTGGTGTGGTGTGTTGTGTGTGGTGTTGTGGTGGGTGTGTGTTGTGGTGTGTGTTGTGGTGGTTGTGTGTGGTGGTGGTGGTGTGTTGTGGTGGTTGGTGTGTGTTGTGGTGGTTGTGTGTGTGGTTGTGTGTGTGGTGGTGGTGGTGTGTGTGGTTGTTGTGTGGTGTGGTGTTGTGTGTGTTGTGGTGTTGTTGTGGTGGTGTGTGTGTTGTGGTTGGTGTGTGTTGTGGTGGTTGGTGTGTGTTGTGGTTGTTGGTGTGTGTTGTGGTGGTTGTGTGTGTTGTGTGTGGTGTTGTTGGTTGTGTGTTGTGTGTGTTGTGGTGGTTGGTGTGTGTTGTGGTGGTTGTGTGTGGTGGTTGTGGTGGGTGTGTGTTGTGGTGGTTGTGTGTTGTGGTTGTTGTGTGTTGTGGTGGTGTTGTGGTTGTGTGTGTGTGTGGTGGTGGTTGGTGTGTTGTGTTGTGGTGTTGGTGTGTGTGTGTGGTTGGTGTGTGTTGTGGTGGTTGGTGTGTTGTGGTGGTTGGTGTGTGTTGTGGTGGTTGGTGTGTGTTGTGGTGGTTGTTGTTGTGTTGTGGTGGTTGTTGTTGTGTTGTGGTGGTTGGTGTGTGTTGTGGTGGTTGTTGTGGTGGTGGTGGTTGGTGTGTGTTGTGGTGTGTTGGTTGTGTGTTGTGGTGGTTGGTGTGTGTGTGTGGTGGGTGTTGTGTGTGTTGTGGTGGTTGTTGTGTGTTGTGGTGGTTGTTGTGTGTGTTGTGGTGGTTGTGTTGTGTTGTGGTGGTTGGTGTGTGTTGTGGTGGTTGGTGTGTGTGTGTGGTGGTTGTTGTGGTTGTGGTGGTTGTGTGTGTGTTGTGTGGTGGTGGTTGTGTGTGTTGTGGTGGTTGTTGTTGTGTTGTGTTGGTTGGTGTGTGTTGTGATGGTTGGTGTGTGTTGTGGTGGTTGTTGTGGTGGTGGTGGTTGGTGTGTGTTGTGGTGGTTGGTGTGTGTTGTGGTGGTTGTTGTGTGTTGTGGTGGTTGGTGTGTGTTGTGGTGGTTGGTGTGTGTTGTGGTGGTTGGTGTGTGTTGTGGTGGTTGGTGTGTTGTGGTGGTTGTTGTGTGTTGTGGTGGTTGGTGTGTGTTGGTTGTTGTGTGTTGTGGTGGTTGTTGTGTGTTGTGGTGGTTGGTGTGTGTTGTGGTGGTTGTTGTGGTGGTGGTGGTTGGTGTGTGTTGTGGTGGTTGTTGTGTGTTGTGGTGGTTGTTGTGTGTTGGTTGGTGTGTGTTGTGGTGGTTGTTGTGTGTGTTGTGTGGTTGTTGTTGTGGTGTGTGTTGGTGTGTGTTGTGTTGGTTGTTGTGTGTTGTGGTGGTTGGTGTGTGTTGTGGTGGTTGTTGTGTTGTGGTGGTTGGTGTGTGTTGTGGTGGTTGTGTGTGTTGTGTTGTTGTGTGTGGTGTTGTGTGTTGTGGTGTGTTGTGTGTTGTGTGTTGTTGTGGTTGGTGTGTGTTGTGGTGGTTGTGTGTGTTGTGGTGTGTTGTGTGTTGTGGTGGTTGTGTTGTGTGTTGTGTGTGTGTTGTGGTTGTTGTGTGTTGTGGTGGTTGGTGTGTGTTGTGGTTGTTGTGTGTGTTGGTTGTTGTGTGTTGTGGTGGTTGTTGTTGTGTGGTGGTTGTTGTGTGTGTTGTGGTGGTTGTTGTGTGTTGTTGTGTGTGTGTGTTGTGTTGTTGTTGTGGTTGTTGTGTGTTGGTGTGTGTTGTGTGTTGTGTGTGTTGTGTTTGTGTGTTGTTGTTGGTGTGTGTTGTGGTGGTTGGTGTGTTGTGTGGGTTGTTGTGTGTTGTGGTGGTTGTGTGTGTTTGTGGTGGTTGTGTGTGTGTGTGGTTGTGTGTGTGTTGTTGTGTGTGGTTGGTGTGTGTTGTGGTGGTGTGTTGTTGTGTGTGTGTGTGGTGTTGTGGTGTTGTGTGTGGTGGTTGTGTGTGTGTGTGTTGTTGGTGTGTGTTGGTGGTGTGTGTTGTGGTGGTTGTTGTGTGTTGTGTGTGTGTTGTGGTGGTTGTGTGTTGTGGTTGGTGTGTGTTGTGGTGGTTGTTGTGTGTTGGTTGGTGTGTGTTGTGGTGGTTGTTGTGTGTTGGTTGGTGTGTGTTGTGGTGGTTGTTGTGTGTTGGTTGGTGTGTGTTGTGGTGGTTGGTGTGTGTTGTGGTGGTTGGTGTGTGTTGTGGTGGTTGGTGTGTGTTGTGGTGGTTGGTGTGTGTTGTGGTGGTTGTTGTGGTGGTGGTGGTTGGTGTGTGTTGTGGTGGTTGGTGTGTGTTGTGATGGTTGGTGTGTGTTGTGGTGGTTGTTGTTGTGTTGTGATGGTTGGTGTGTGTTGTGATGGTTGTTGTTGTGTTGTGATGGTTGTTGTTGTGTTGTGATGGTTGTTGTTGTGTTGTGATGGTTGTTGTGGTGGTGGTGGTTGGTGTGTGTTGTGGTGGTTGTTGTGTGTTGTGGTGGTTGGTGTGTGTTGTGGTGGTTGTTGTGTGTTGTGGTGGTTGTTGTTGTGTTGTGATGGTTGTTGTGTGTTGTGGTGGTTGTTGTTGTGTTGTGATGGTTGTTGTTGTGTTGTGATGGTTGTGTGTTGTGGTGGTTGTTGTGTGTTGTGGTGGTTGTTGTGTGTTGTGGTGGTTGTTGTGTGTTGTGGTGGTTGTTGTTGTGTTGTGATGGTTGTTGTTGTGTTGTGATGGTTGTTGTGTGTTGTGGTGGTTGTTGTTGTGGTGGTGGTGGTTGGTGTGTGTTGTGGTGGTTGTTGTGTGTTGTGGTGGTTGTTGTGTGTTGTGGTGGTTGGTGTGTGTTGTGGTGGTTGGTGTGTGTTGTGGTGGTTGTTGTTGTGTTGTGATGGTTGTTGTTGTGTTGTGATGGTTGTTGTTGTGTTGTGATGGTTGTTGTGATGGTTGTTGTGATGGTTGTTGTGTTGTGATGGTTGTTGTTGTGTTGTGATGGTTGTTGTTGTGTTGTGATGGTTGTTGTGATGGTTGTTGTGATGGTTGTTGTGTTGTGATGGTTGTTGTTGTGTTGTGATGGTTGTTGTTGTGTTGTGATGGTTGTTGTGTGTTGTGATGGTTGTTGTGTGTTGTGATGGTTGTTGTGTGTTGTGATGGTTGTTGTGTGTTGTGGTGGTTGGTGTGTGTTGTGATGGTTGGTGTGTGTTGTGGTGGTTGTTGTGTGTTGTGATGGTTGTTGTTGTGTTGTGATGGTTGTTGTTGTGTTGTGATGGTTGGTGTGTGTTGTGATGGTTGGTGTGTGTTGTGGTGGTTGGTGTGTGTTGTGATGGTTGGTGTGTGTTGTGGTGGTTGGTGTGTGTTGTGATGGTTGTTGTGTGTTGTGATGGTTGTTGTGTGTTGTGGTGGTTGGTGTGTGTTGTGATGGTTGGTGTGTGTTGTGGTGGTTGGTGTGTGTTGTGATGGTTGTTGTGTGTTGTGATGGTTGTTGTTGTGTTGTGGTGGTTAGTGTGTGTTGTGATGGTTGTTGTGTGTTGTGATGGTTGTTGTTGTGTTGTGGTGGTTGTTGTGTGTTGTGATGGTTGTTGTGTGTTGTGGTGGTTGTTGTGTGTTGTGATGGTTGGTGTGTGTTGTGATGATTGTTGTTGTGTTGTGATGGTTGTTGTTGTGTTGTGATGGTTGTTGTGTGTTGTGATGATTGTTGTTGTGTTGTGATGGTTGTTGTTGTGTTGTGATGGTTGTTGTTGTGTTGTGATGGTTGTTGTGTGTTGTGATGGTTGTTGTTGTGTTGTGATGGTTGTTGTGTGTTGTGATGGTTGTTGTGTTGTGATGGTTGTTGTTGTGTTGTGATGGTTGTTGTTGTGTTGTGATGGTTGTTGTTGTGTTGTGATGGTTGTTGTGTGTTGTGATGGTTGTTGTGGTGGTGGTGGTTGGTGTGTGTTGTGGTGGTTGTTGTTGTGTTGTGGTGGTTGTTGTGTTGTGATGGTTGTTGTTGTGTTGTGATGGTTGTTGTGTGTTGTGATGGTTGTTGTGTTGTGATGGTTGTTGTTGTGTTGTGATGGTTGTTGTTGTGTTGTGATGGTTGTTGTTGTGTTGTGATGGTTGTTGTGTGTTGTGATGGTTGTTGTGGTGGTGGTGGTTGTTGTGTGTTGTGGTGGTTGTTGTTGTGTTGTGGTGGTTGTTGTTGTGTTGTGGTGGTTGTTGTTGTGTTGTGGTGGTTGTTGTGTGTTGTGATGGTTGTTGTGTGTTGTGGTGGTTGTTGTGTGTTGTGATGATTGTTGTTGTGTTGTGATGGTTGTTGTTGTGTTGTGATGGTTGTTGTGTGTTGTGGTGGTTGTTGTTGTGTTGTGATGATTATTGTTGTGTTGTGATGGTTGTTGTTGTGTGTTGTGATGGTTGTTGTGTTGTGTGTTGTGATGGTTGTTGTGTTGTGTGTTGTGATGGTTGTTGTGTTGTGATGGTTGTTGTGTTGTGATGGTTGTTGTGTTGTGATGGTTGTTGTTGTGTTGTGATGGATGTGTTTAATTTAATTTGTTAAATTTTGCCCCGAGGGGCGAGTTTATTGGGCAGAGCCACTCATCCTGTGAGTGGCCATACCGCCATAGCAGCATGTACAACACTCCCCAATAGGAAGAAAACCCGCTGGGTTGTTCATCCTGTCA